GTAAAAGGCGAAGGGGATATGGGACAAGAGAAAGTGATGAATAGGAAAGCGGAAAGGAGATATAAAAAAGAGACAGAGCGGAATGGTATATGGAGACGGGAAAGAGGAAGAGCAGAAGAGGCGAAAGGAAAAGAGAAGGAGAAGAAATATAAGCACAAGGGGAACGACAAAAGGCCAACGAAAGAAAGAAGCAGAAATAGGAGTTAAACGGAAAGTGAAGAGGAATGTGTGGAAATAAGAAAGAAAGAAAAACTATGCTCTTAACTTTAAGGCATTACCTATTAGCCTAACTACTGCCTTAAATGTTCTTCATGGCAGAGCTAAAGCATTTAACTTGATGCTAATATGTTTGCAAGATTTGCCTTTTCGTTATAAAATGTATTAAACAATTATATACTATATAAGGCTGAAACAGCAAATTTGGTTTAACTAAATCTTCTAACTTTCGAGCTATGCTGAAAAGAAAACGAAAATGAATTTTGATGAGATATCATGCTAATAATAATGTATATTAAACTAATACTTAGTCGGCAGCTTATGACAGAAGAGGTTAGTTAAACTTTAAAGCTTCTCCCTTAGTCAAATTGTAGCTCAGTCTAACGTCTAAGCAAGTCGCTGAGTTGCCAAAATTTCGCTCTGATTTCGTGGGTAACAAAAGAGAAAGAAGAAGAAGAAGTAAAAGTGCTGTAGGTTGCTGTAAGTTGCCTGTGCCGGGGGCCGAAATGTATCCGTCAGCTACTTGCAGCAGTTGCTGGCTATCGAATTTGAATGTGACGCAGGAGGCGGCGCATTGGCTATGCGACAAAAGAGGAATTTAGAGGGCTTTGCGTGGATAGAGCCGAGAAGCAGGATAACTAAATAGACGATGACGGCGATGATCAGGTTGGGGATACAGAGAACAACGACAACGAGAATGACTCCTATAAATAATACATACGCATTGCCCACACATACACACAGACACAGACACACAGACAGACAAACAAAAGTTGTTTATACACAATGAAATGGCAAGCAGCAAACGCGACATGCGACGACGTTGATGATGAAGCCGAGAAGCAAACCAAACCAAACTCAACCAAACCGCCGACACTGGAGACCACTTTTCAACACTCAAATTGACACACACACACACACACACGCACACACATAGCCAGACATTTACATTCAATGCGAGTGTATGGAGCATTCAATTTTGTGTAATCATCGTGCAGGCAACGCAGCAGCAGCTGAAGCTGTGGCGAGATAGAGAAGGCTAGGGGCTGACGGTGGGTGAGGGGAAGAGAAAGGCATGCAGAGGGATCCAGAGGCTGGCACTATAAATCGCGATGTGGCGAATCTCTTTGCGTTGACAGACACATTAACAGACGATGCCATGACAGGATGCTGCATGTGGCTGCTGTTGCCCAAAAACTTCAGCAGCTTCGTGCAGCAACCGCAGCAGCACTGAGAGGGAGAGAAAGTGAGAGAGAGAGATTGGATGCTGTTGTGTGGTTGCAGTTCAGCTACAATTTTTTTTGCTCATTTTTTTCTCCATTCGCACTCTGGCAATAATCAATTTACAGCTTACACCTGTGTGTGTGTCCCTTCATATAGATGTGTGTGTGTGTGTGTGTTAGCCAAATGAAAAGCAAATATTTGCCATGTAACGTGACCATCCAATGGCGCCGCAACAACAATAGGATAATCCCCAAAAAGTGGCCCAAGCACGCATCTAGCTTGGCTAGGAGAACATATTGTTAACATGTCAGGCTACAGCCACAGCTGTTGCTCCTCTGCTGAAGCTTATGATATGGCCAACTGGCCAACGATGGCCAAGGGGCCATCAGGTCATCGGCTCTCTAATTGGCAGCTGGCGTCACGCACTCGCACAGGTGAGCCCAGAGCTCTGATTTATGGCCAACTCATTTGTACTCCATTATTTGTATTATCTTGGCCTTTTATCAACTATGCGTTAATTGGCGG